CAGAGATGGGGTACAGGCCAGAGGTGCAGGGGCAGAGAGAGGATTCATCAGACAGAGTGCGGAGCAGAGTAGGCAGACTGACAAGGTACGCTGCTGAGGGAGCAGCATGAGAGACCGGAGAGGTCTGCTGGGCCATGTGGGTCACCTCCGTGCCCGGATCGAGCTTGTGCTGAGGTGGCTGCAGCCAGCTTTGTAGAGCTTCACCAGTTGCGCCACCAGTTTATAGAATGTTTAGCTCTTCCAATTAGGAATCTTCTGGTCAATACCAAGACAACGCAGACAGCACCGGAAGGAGGAAAGCTGATGTCTGTTTATGTTGATGCTGTGATTTACAGGAAATATTTGCTTATTTGGTCGCCAAGCTGTTTCCCATACTTACGGTCTTCTTCCACAGCGCTCCCCGTCGCCTCTTGGAATTTCCTCAGTCATTAGAGCAACAGAGGCATCTTTTATCATAACATTTGGCCTCTAATCCCCAGTTCCTGAGAAAGCTTCAGAACCATAAACGTTTAAATGGGTGTCTTGTTTTCTAACAGGATTATGTTAATGAAGATCACCTTTGGAAAACACCTGGGCGGGGGCTGGTTGCCAGGGCAACCAACAAGCTTAGAGGGTGGGACTCGCCAGGAGAGCAGCAGGGGTGGAATTCAATGCCCAGGGGCGGGTGGTCTAGCCACAGGTGCCTCTGTCATGAAGCCGCCACAGAAGCCTAGAGGGCGCACCCACGCTGCTGGGTGGCAAGATTTGAGGAGCATGGGGAGGCCAGAGAGGGCCTGCAAGCTCCATGCCTTTCCCCATACCTTGACCTGTATCTGCTGACTGAATCAATAGCGTCCTTTGTAATAAATCGAGTGAGTGAACAGGCTTGCTGTGGCAGCAATTTAATCGAATCTGACGTGGATGACGTGGACGGGAACTTTTGATAAAGGCAAGCGGCAAGAAGCCTGGATAATCTGGGGCTGGCAGCTTAAGTCTGAGGAGGGGTCGTGGGGACCCCTACATACAGCTCGTTGGCCAGAGTTATGTTTGGGCTTGCAGCCCCATCTGAAGTGGAAGGTGGTCTTTGGAGCCTGAGTCCTACCTAACCTGTGGAGTCTGATGCTGCTTCTGGGGAGACTCAGAACTGAGCTGAATTCTCGGACACCATTGGACACTTCTTGGAGACCAGGAGGTGCTTGTTGGTGTGGGGAACTTGTAAGCAACAGGATCCAGTAGTTCCCTTCGGTTCTTTCCAGGTTGGTGAAGGCATTCCGGGGCCAGGAGAAAGGTGCACCCCAACTCCAGGGACAAGCTCAGGGCTGGCAGACCTTAGCAGTTACTGTTCTGACTGATTTGAATCCTTGATGATAAACCAATACAAGTTAAGTGTTTCCCTTAGGGTCATTATAGCAGGTTACCTGAGGGGGGAGTTGTGGGAGCCTCTGAAGTGTGGGCCAGCCGAAGGCCCGCTAAGTGCGTGTCTGAATGGGGCAGTCTTGTGGGGCTGAGCCCTTCAGCTGTGGGGTCTGCACTGATGCTGGGGGGCTAGTGTCAGAATGGAACTGTAGGACACCCAGGGGTTGTGCCCAGAGACTTGGAGAACTGTTTTGCATGAGCTGGTGTGAGAAGTGCTGTGAGTAGAGACAGTGTTAATCCCCTCTTCTCTCCCAAGTGCTGGGCGTCCTCTTGGCCTCTTGGCTGGACCGTGGTCTTGGGCCCTCTGGGCAGGGCAGGGCAGCAGCGCCTTCTGCCCAGCAGAGGGCGCACCCCGCAGCTTTAGGACTCCAGCGGAAGCTCTGGGTGACCTAAGGAAAAGGGCTTCCCCAGGGGAGTCAGTCTTCTGTAAACGTGTAAACGGTCACCTAACCCCTTCCTTTACCTCTCCTGTTCATCCCTTTCCCCCAGGGGGCTGGCCCTTACCTGTGCCCTTACCTGCGATCACTTTCTTCTGGAGCGCTCCTTCCCGAGAGCCTCCCTGCCTCAGCCAAACCCCTCAACTTGACTGTGCCATGGACTGAATGTTGTCTTTGACAAACAACAGCAAAATTTACAAAGGCTCTGTTTTTTTTCTTAGCAGACGTAAATGATCTCAAATGTGTCATGCCTTACAACAAGGATTCTTTTTTTAAAAAAGTGAATTTTCCCATTGCTTGAATTTGTAACCTTCTTACCACCCAACACACACACACACACACACATGCACGCACATCGTAGTTGGAACAGAGTGGCCTCTGCTTGGACCCAAGTGCCTCAGGCAGGTCCTGTCACCGTGGGGCTGGCCCAGGAGGCCCTCCTCCAGGTTCTCCCTGGTTCCCTCCAGCAGCATGGGCCACCAGGCCTTTCTGGAAAGGGACCCGGGGCCCATCAGTGTCCACCACACCGAGGGCGGGGCCCGGTGCCTCTGACATCTGCCAGGACTTGCCCATGCCTTTTTCTTAGTCACCCCCGCCAGGCTCTTCTCAAGTGCTATGCCCTCCCCCTGCTCCTGCCCCGCCCAAGCGTTTGCCCGACCCCTGGCGCGACCCCTGGCGTCTGTGCAGGTCACATCGGGAAGCTGTTCGTCCTCGGCAGCGTTGGCCTTGGGTGTTAACCTCAGCGGGAACAGGTCCCCAGTCCTCGGTAGCCGAGACACCCGCACAGAGCCTCCGGGCTATTCGGACTCTGCTGTCCGGACCCCTTGCACACCACCTCTGTCCCTACCTCTCCCCGCACGGCGCCCTTTCAGCCCCCAAACGTGGCCGTGCATCTGTGGCGGCCTGATCTCCCCGTGTGCTGGACGGGGCTTTGCCCGAGCCCGCCTGCGGCCCCTACTAGTCGGCTTATTCAAAGCTGCACCCTCACTGCCAGAGTCCTTAGCCCCGCTGCACCTGGCCTCCTCAGGTGCACCAGCACCTCGATTCCTGGGGGTCCCACCTGCATGGAAGGTGTGTGGCTGGGCAGATCTGCCAGCACAGCTGCCGGCCCCACCGCCAGGGGAGGGCCGCGGCCAGCGGGCAGCCGGTCCCGTGGCCCTGGAAGGCTCTGTGCTAGTAACACCACCGACACGCGCCCGAGGGCTCAGTAGCCGATGCCATGGGCGTGTCTGTGGTCATTTGCAGATGAGGAAGCCAACACACAGGGCGCTGGGAGCAGAGGTGTGGAGCTGGGATTCCCAGGGCACCAAGGCCGCGTCCCGCCCAACTCTGCGGGCCGTGACGAGATGGTACTGGCCCCTCAGCGCGGCCTGTGAGGGGTCCACTGGCCCGCAGCAGACGAGAGGCCCGGGCCAGGTAACGAGGCCTTGCCGGGCCAGGTAACGAGGCCTTTGCCGCGCCGCGGCGGTGGGTTCGGACGGAGCAGGGAGCCGGGCCAGGCCCGTAGCGTCCTCCCCAGGGACTCCCCCGCAGAGCCCCCTGGGAATGGAGCCAGAACGGGGCGCCCTGCCTGGCGACCCCACGCGGCGTCTGCGCTTGCTCTGTGTCCCGATCTTTCGCTCACCTTTGCAGCCTCTTGGGGAGCGCCTGGGGTGTCGTGGCCTGGTTCAGAAGCCCCCCGTTGGAAGCACACGTGAGCAGTGGAGGGTCTGCCACCCATTCTTTGCCCGGGCTCCTCTCGCGATGAGGTGTCTGGCAGCACCCCTGTCCCCCAGCGCCCATAACGCCTGCCTTGGCTTTTGTTCTTGCCTCTGGGGGGTGCGGGGACACCAGCTCCCTTGATCGGCCTGACTCAAGGGAGACCCTTGATGGCTGCGGTGAGCGTGGGCAATCTCGTGCCCCTGCGTTTTTGCTTCGGCTTCATGGGGCCAGCACGACTCACCTACAGAAAGTGGCGGCTCCTCCAGAGAAGGGGGTACCCACACCAGGTTCCCTTTGGGGCCTGGCACAAGACTTCCTTACAGGAGTCACCTGTGGGGTGGGGATGGCTTCTGGGGCCAGCTCTCTGACCTCGGTCACCCATGCGGGTTGTTCAGGCCGCTGGGCTGGGGGTTGTTGTGAAGAAGTGACCCCTAGCTTTTGCCAAGAAATTCACAGAGTGTCCCCACTTTGAAAAGTTAGCCTAGAGTGCTCGATTTGAGAAGCCTGATGTAGGGTGAACAGCCCCACCTGCGGGCTGATTTCGGTCACAGGCTCCCTTTCGGAGACCGCTGGGGGGTGGGGGTGGATGAGGAAGTGAATCCACGTCTGGGGGGCGGCTTTGGGGTGGCCGGGGTGCCCTGTGCCGAGCCGCACTCCCCAAGCCGCATGACCAGGCAGTGTGTCCCGCTGGAGGGCAGCTGGTGGTCTCCAAGCAGGTGGCACCTTTCCGGGGTGGACGGCGGCACAGGCCGAGTGACCGCCCTGTAAAGCGGCCTGGGTCTAGGTGCAGCTGCCCAGGTGTGTCTGGGTTTTCTCTTTTCCCTCTGAAAGTTCCACGCCTCAGGAACCCTTTCGTCCCAGGCAAACCCCGACGGTTCGGCGTGGTTCCCTGGTCGCGGGACAACGGTCAGGGCAGCGGGGTGTGTGAGTTGTGAGTGCCAGGCCCGAGCCCACATCCCCCTGTGCACTGCAAGTCCCTTCAACAGGTGAGTCAGGAGCTCGGTGAGGTGAGCTGGACACAACAAGTAGCCGCAATAGGGGTTGACCCCACGTTGATCTGGCTCTGTGCTCCTGTCCGCACTCTCTGAGACCCCTGGCAGGGCCCCTGATGGCCAGGCCAGCAGGCCTGGGAGGGGCCAGTGTCCTTTGGTTTGTGTTTGCCTGGCTGGAGGCTGAGCCTGGAAAGACTTCTGCAGATCTGAGCCCCCCAAGCCTGAACCCCCAGCCCTGCTCAGTTCTCTCTGTGCCCTGAACAGTGCCTCCTGTTTCCAAACACCCTGGCCTGTCCCCCCCACTACGGCCGACTGCAGGGACCAGGGATGTGGCTGGCGCTTAGAAAATAAACGCTCGCCGGTGATTTATTACCTGGTCTGGGGAGCGCCATCCAGGGCAGGGGAGGGACGGGGAGCAGGGCACAGGGGCCTCGGGAGGCTGTCGAGTCAGGCCTTTGGGGCTCCCACGCAGGGCCTAGTCCCCATTGGGGGAAGCGCGGGCCCGGCGTGGGGTGAGGCGGCTGGTCAGGTAGCGCACGGCAGAGCGGATGCCCTCCACCATCCTCCGCTCTACCGCCTCCAGCATGTGGGTGACGGAGTGCAGGGCCGAGCCCGTCCTGCCCACCAGGCGGGAAGAGAAGGCCGAACTGGCGTGGGCCAGGATGCTGGAGACCGAGCGCAGGCTGGGCCCCGTTCTGTGCAGCAGGTCAGTGACGTGGCTGTGGCCGGAGGCCAGGAAGCCCGTGGCCATGCCCATGCCAGACTCCGACCACACCAGGATGTCGGCCAGGGAGCTGATGGCGCCCTCACCCCCGCCCAGCAAGCTGGTCACAGAGCGCATGTAGTCGATCTCCTCGTTGTCCAGGTCCAGGCTGGAGTCCATGGGCCTTCTGTCCAGGGCCACCATGGGGAAGGCAGGAGAGCCAGGGGCGCTGGCCCTTGGGGAGGGAGGGGGTGACTGAGCCTGCAGGGTCCCCTCCGGCACACCCTGGGGCTCAGCGCATGGGGGGGTTGTTTTCTCCCCAGGGGAGCCGGCTGCCTGGGTGGCAAGCTGCCTGTCTGTGTCACCTGTGCCCCCGGCGGGCTGAGCCTCTGCATTCTGGGGGGACAGTGCCTCGGCATCTGGGGTAGCTGAGCCCGGCGCACCATCTGGGACGCTCCCCGTGCACGTCTCCTCCTTGGCCTGGGCGTCAGGGCTCACAGATCCCTGCCTGGAGTCTCGCTCCTGGAGGCTTGGGGATGGCTGTAGGGCCTGGGTGGAGGCCTCCAGCTCCTGGCTGAGTCCTGCAGCAGCTTCATACTCGTCCTTGTCCCCACGGGCCGACGTGTCCCTAGGAGCTGGCATGTCCGTATAGGCTGAGGCGCACTCAGGAGCTGGGGGGCCCTCTTGGGCTGGCATATCTGTACAGACTGATGTGTCAAAATAGGCTAACGCATACTCAGGGGCTGACGGGTCCTTAGCAGCTTGTGGGGCCTCAGGGGCTGGCATGTCCATGTAGGCTGAGGTGTACGAATAGTCTGATGTGTCCTGAGGAGCTGGCGGGACCTCAGGGGCTGACGGGTCCTTAGAAGCTCGTGGGGCCTCAGGGGCTGGCATGTCCATGTAGGCTGACGTGTACGAATAGTCTGATGTGTCCTTGGGTGCTGGCGTGTGCTCACGGGCTGACGGGTCTTCAGGAGCTGGCGTGTCATAGGCTGATGAGTCCGTATAGGCTGATGTGACTGTATAGGCTGTTATGCCCTCGGGGGTTAGCATCTCCTTGTGACCTAACCTGCCTTTATGGGTTGCCGTGCCCTTATGCGTGCCCTTATGCGCTGACCTCTCCTCATGGGCTGGTGTGTCCGCATGATCTGATGTGCCCTGACAGATTGATGCATTCTTGAACGTGATTAGCTTGACAGAGGCTGGAGCTACACGCAGCTGTGCAGGTGGGCTGGACTCTGGTCCACCTGCATGGGTGAGGACCTGAGTTTGGGGGCCCGCTGTCAGGCTGCCCGTAGACCTGCCGCTTGCTACGTGGTCATGTGTGGGGGTGCCGGTGGCCCTGGCCTCTCCCGAGGGCACGGTGGTCATTGGGGCCTCTGCCACTTGTGCTGCTGGGGAAGTGATCATGCCCCTCTGGGCTGAGGTGTCCAGGTTGTGAGGTCACAGGGGACTATGGGCAGCTGGCGATGTCACAGGCACCTGCAGAGCTAGGGTCCTGCCCCAGGACTGGCTGCCCAGGCGGGCCGAGTCCAGGCAGCGATCTGTAGCACCGTTTGCAGGTGTGTAAGGAAAAAAGGGCAAATATCTTGGAAAAGGTCCTGCAGGTGTCTGGGGAGTCACTGTGAACGTGACTTTGATGGAGGGACGGGTGCAGGTGTTGTTTCATAGCAAGTGCCCATGCCCAGCACTTCTGTGTCCATCTGGGGACTAGGGCCCTGATTTGGCCAGTGTTTCTGCAGAGAACCAATTGTTCGCAGTAGTGAAGAGAAATAAGTGATTGAATGTATGCGTCCCCCTCCATATTGAAAATTATTTGGAACCTTTGAAGTTGACCCTTTTTTTTTAATGCCTATAAGAACTAAGATACAGGTCAGAGGTGAGAGGATTCACCAGAGACAGAGTGGGGTGCAGAACAGGCAGATCAATCGATCTGATCAATATTGCTGAGGGGAGCAGCGGTGGGGAGGTGGGGGGAAGACAGGAAAAGTCTGCTGTGCCCTGTGGGCCAGCTCCCTGGCTGGGATGGAAACTGTGCTGTAGTGGCTGCAGGTAGCTCACAGTGCTGCACTTTAACCAGTTGTGCCACCAGGGAGGGCTGGGAAGTTGGACTTTTGTAAGGAGATTAGGTCAAGGGACAGCTCTCATGGATGGGATTAGTGTCCTTATGAAGGAGACTGCAGCCCTCCCTGGCCCCTCTCCCACGTGAGGATTCAGCCAGAAGACAGTGGCCATGAACCCTGAGGCCAGCTCTCGCCACACGCTGCACCTGCCAGCACCTTGACCTTCCCAGCCTCCCGAAGGTGAAAAATAAACTGTTTATAAACCACCCAGTCCATGCCGTTCTGTTATTGCAACCTGCAGGAAGCAAGAAAGAAATTGCTACCAAGAAGTGGGTGATGTTGGTAACACCTGAAAATGGGGAGGCCGCCTCGGCAGTGAGGAACGGGTGATGCTGGGAGTGCAGGCTGGGAAAAGCCTCCGCTGTGAACAGACTTACAAGGTGACTCCCAGATGTGGTACATAGACACAATGGAATATTACTCAGCAGCCAAAAAGGAAACACATGTCTTTTGCAGCAACTTGGGTGGAGCTGGAAAAGATCATGCTTAGTGAGATAAGCCAGAAAGAGAAAGAAAAATACCGGATGGTTTCACTCACAGCAGGAGTATAACGGACCAGGAGAGAAAATAACAAGAATAATGAACAACCATATACCAGAGACATGTTGTGGGGGCGGAGTGGGGAATGGGAGCAAAAACGGGGGGGGGGGGAGAAATGCACGGGATTATGGTGATGGCACACGGGTGACTTGGTGATGGGAAACCCGCGGGGATTACAATTGAGATGGAAAAAAAATGTACAAAATGATGTAAAAATAAACTTTTGTAATAAAAAAATAAATAAAAAAAAAGAAGGTGACTCCGATGAAAGCCAGAAGGAAACAGAGAGCAGTGGAGAGAAGGCTCAGCCCGCTGGAGGATACCTGGCGGACGGCCTGCTGGGAGGAACGGGCGAGCGGGCGTCGGCCGCGTCCTCGCGGAAGTGAGGGACTTCCGGTTACTGGGCTGTGGCGGGAGGCGATTCCCGCGTCGGCGCTGCCCCGCGGCGGTGTGTTATGGAAGCCATGAAAGCAGGTGTCCGAGGTGATCTCTGAGGCGGGCCGGGGTGCGGCCCGGTCCTGAGCACTCACAGAAACGGGCAAGGGGAGAGACGAGGCGTCCGGAGGGGTTGGGGAGCCGCGAGGGGCAGAGCTGTGGGCCGCTGGACTTGGGCGGCCGCCAGCCGCCGTCTCGGTTTCGCGCAGTTCCGCCTCAGCCCGAGGTCAGCCCAGACCGTCAGTTACCTGAAAGAATCTGCACGCCAGAGCCCACACGGCGCCTTTCCAGGGGCGGGAGCTGGATGTGCGATGGTCCCGCACCTGCGTCCCCGCCCCATCTGTGACTGGGATGGGGTCGGGGGGACGGGGCGGCAGGATGTCCTGTCGGGAAGACTGGAACCAAGAGAAGGCGCAATGGGATTTGGCTTCCACCTCGTCCTGAATCGTCAAGCAGAAATGTGTTGTCAGCAGACTCGCCCGCCTTGCCCCGCACCCTGGGCACCGGCACGTTGGCTCGGTCTCACCCAGGCCTTTTCTTGTTCTCCTGTCCTGCGGGGCGGACGCGCTGTGTCCTTCCATCACGAAGTGGCCAGGAACCAGGAGCTCGCTCTTCTGCGGCGCTGCACGGGGCAGCCAGCTCCGCCGCTCCTGTTGGCCAGTTTCGTGCTGTGGACACAACACAGACCCCAAAGCTTTGCTGAATTCTCAGCTTCTCCGTATGGCAAAGGGTAAGAAGCTGTCCCGGACAGAGCACTGCGCGAGTGACCAGTGACCGAGTGATGGGAACTTGCTGTGGCTCAGCCATCTCCACAGATCTGCGGAGACAGTGCTCAAGACAGTGGAAGGATTGTTCCAGGGCACCCCAGTGTGAGCTGGGCTGCCTGTCGGGGGGTCCTCACCCGCCTGCTTAATAAGATTCAGTGGTACTGCGGACACACACACAAGAGTTCGACAACGGGCTTATTTACAAGGGGAAAGGGAAAGGAACAACCCAGGGAAAGAGAGAGAAATACGAGTTAACTAGAACATCCTACCAGTTCCGCTGACTTGGAACCCCAATAGCCGCTGAACACGCATCAACCAGCCACCAGCCACGGGGCCAAGAGACGCCCAGAGCCCATGCGTCCAGTTCTGTCCCAGCCTGGCTGCTCCGCTCCACCCTCAGGTCCCAGCGTGCTTCTCACTGGTTCTGATGGGATTTGTAGGTCCCGTCTCTGGAGCGGGGGCGGCGTCCATGAGACCAGTGTCCATTACAGGATCACGCCAGGACAATTCTGAGCTCTTCGGGGCCTTCACAGGCCCAGTGCATGTGTGTCTCCTGGTTGGCTTGCCAGTTCGACACCAAATGCCAGTCTTGGTTTCCCTTAGCCAAAAAGGGGAAACAGAGTTTGGGAAGAAAGTAGTTTAATTTGTTGACAGATTGAGGAGGGCAGCCAACTCGTGTCCGAAAGGCCCCGTGCTGCTCTTTGCAGAGACAGTGGTGTTATCCAGAGTCACAGGGAGAAGTGGGTGTGCAAGGGCAGCCTGTCCGTTCTTTTTTTTTTTTAAATATGTATTTATTTGTGCATACAAGAACTGGTTACAAGCCAGAGATGCAGGGGGTGAGAGGCTTCACCAGAGACAGGAGCAGAACAGGCAGATCGACGAAGGACCTTGCTGAGGGGAGCAGCGGGAGGGTCAGGAGGGGTCTGCAGTGTCTGTGGGTCACTCCCTGGTGGGGATCGAGCTTGTGCTGCAGCAGCTGCAGGCAGCTTCACAATCCTTGCGCCACCAGGGAGGGCCCAGCCCGTCCGCCCTTGCAACACAGGGTCTAGAGGTTTCAGGTGATGCCAGCTTGCTTTCACTGTCACCTGGTGGTCGGTAATTCAGATGAAATGTTAAAAGGCACAGGGCAGTGTGGACCCCAGGGCTGACAAGAAGCAGGTTTATTGCACCGGTGCTGACTCGGCGGATTCGCGCCCAGGCTGCGCCCCAGCTGCAGGGGTCACGGGATAGAGCCACTTTCAGTTTCTACAAGGTCCCGGCGGTTGCATTGGCCGCTGTACGTGGTCAGATCTGACGTGGCTACATGCCAGGAGGTGAGTTTCACGGCTGCCTGCCGAGCAGTGAGTCACGGGCCCCCAAGTCCATTCTGCCTCCTGGCGGTGCATGGTCTAACTTGAAGCAAGAGTCACACCAGGGACTGAGTTGTCTAGCAGGTCCGAATATCCCAGGTTGCTTATCTCAGGTCACCACGCTTCAGTCTCTTCCTAGGGAGGCTCTTTCCCCTTGGAACGTAAGAAAACTAAGTCTGTTAACTGGAGGAAATGGTAGCACAAATCAGGTGGGGCAGAGAGACGAGTCCTTCATTCCTGGTGCGCGTGTACGTGGGCGTGGGCAGGGTGGGGGTTGGTGCAGAGTGGTGTCCAGGCCGGGACTGCCAGGCCCTGCACGGCTCTGCCCTGCACACTCTTGTGCCTTGATCCTTGTGCAGCGCCCACAGGCCCTGGAGCGTCACGGCCCACTTTGCCCCCCCAGAGGGCGCAGGCCGCAGACTTCGGAGGCGCCTTGTGGGTTTCTGGTGTGGAGAGGCAAAGCGTGCCTGCCCTAGGTCACTGCTGCCTCGCCAGGAGCTCCAGCGATGGGGCCGCCCCAGGAGCTGCAGGTGGGGGAGCCTGGCCCCAGCAGCCCAGGGACTCAAGCAAGGGGGTCCTGCTGTGGGGTGACCATGTAACCCCAGTGGCCAGGAAGATCACCTTGGGGAGGGTCTGCCTCTTTGGCTGGCTCCTCCTTGGCTATGTTCTGCTTAGCTCTTGTCTGCTTTAAGGGCCAGCTTCCAAATTCTATTTCTTTCCAGAACTGCTTCTTGCAAGTTCAAGACTCTAAGGAGATGGTGCAATTGGGCTCCATTAGCAGATGGTATGGGAATTCTACTTCCAAGATATACTGGATTTGTTTGGAAGAAATAGGTTAA